CCTCACCGCTGGTGGAATGCTTCATTCATCCCTAGAGCACAAACACAACTTCTACTAACACGTCTTCTTTCCAGTATCGCCTTCCTTTGCAAGTGACGTCTCCTGTCATCACTGCATGATCAGCCTCTTCACTGGCTGTCATCTCTTTTTTGTTTCCTCCTGTAAAATTTTCTTGGTCACTCGATTCACGACCACTGGAAAGGGCGCTGATTTTCTGCCCCACTAACCACGTTCACGCTCAGTTGTGCCCGTCATGCTCATGTTACCTCATACTGCTGTCCTGAAACTGCAAGATCTTACAGGCAAGAGTATAGTTGCATGCTTTCACCGGAGAAAACTTAGCTTTAGCACTCGTATACCAGTCCATGCTCTCCTGACCGCAAGACTTAGAACTTTTACCCTCATTGAAAGTACTAACTAGGCTGCATGCAAATAACGAAATAAGAAGACGTGCTGATAACTTTTGAGAAGGGGGACAATCTTTTTAAATAGGAAAGATGGCACACAGGAGTTGAGGAATGTGATATATTCCCACCGCCTGCAATTGGCGCCGCCTAGTTTCTCAGCCCACCTACAAGCATGACTCGGGTGGTGCTGCACTGGCCACATCAACGCACCTACTTTAAGTAGACAACAGAAAAAGTAATTTTTGAGAAGGGTGCAGTGGCGAGATGAGATCAAAATGGGTGGATACGGGGTGGAAACGAGATGGATGGGTGGTTGGATGAACGGACGGAGGAATGGACGGATAGATGCGTGAGTGGATACGGGCGGATAGAGGGATGCTTGCGACATCACTTTAACCTTCTCTTTACGTTCCGTATCCAAGTCGATGGAGCTGGTGAAGAATTGGCTACTCCAAATGTAAATGGCAGAATTCATGAGAAGCGCCATGCCTACCCTCACTGAGCTTGGTGGTTAGATAAGCAGACGAGGCGTGCAGTGCACCCTCCCTCCACTCAAGCACTGCTTGATCTGCTCTGGCATGTGCTCATCTCGGTCTCTATCATGTCGGTGTCAGTAGTACTCTTCGTCCTCTTTGTCCAATCTTTCATCATTCTCAAATCCACCTTCACCTCCGTCCACATTGTCCCCATATCCATTCCCACGTTTTTAGCGTGACAGATGTAAAAATACTTTAATCTCAAAACATTATGAGGGGTTAGATTGTGAAAAAATTACGATTGAGGAGATTGCTGATGCGTTTTGTTGAATTGACAGAAATATGCACAAATTATAATCTATTAAAAAGGTACATTAGGGAAGAGCTAATATCCTCTACAAAAAACTGATCACTGCGAGCTTTAACTCCTTCTCCATTCAAATACTCCTTGTCTACCTTTTTTCGCATCCGCTGACCAGCCTTCTTCCTACTAAGGAGTTATAAGTTACCCATCCTCTGAGATGTCAAGTTCCCATGACGTTTGTTTCCTTGCTGATGTTCTTTCACATTCTTGATTAGCTCCGTATTCACCCCAAAACATGCAGGAAACACCGACTTGACCACAAAGCCTTCTTTTTCAGGAACGCAGTGCATGGGCTACAACTGAAGTTAATGCTAGGGAAGTTTTTACTTGTGTGTTGAGGCCTATAGGCGTGAGGTTTATTTTGCCTCACCGCTGGTGGAATGCTTCATTCATCCCTAGAGCACAAACACAACTTCTACTAACACGTCTTCTTTCCAGTATCGCCTTCCTTTGCAAGTGACGTCTCCTGTCATCACTGCATGATCAGCCTCTTCACTGGCTGTCATCTCTTTTTTGTTTCCTCCTGTAAAATTTTCTTGGTCACTCGATTCACGACCACTGGAAAGGGCGCTGATTTTCTGCCCCACTAACCACGTTCACGCTCAGTTGTGCCCGTCATGCTCATGTTACCTCATACTGCTGTCCTGAAACTGCAAGATCTTACAGGCAAGAGTATAGTTGCATGCTTTCACCGGAGAAAACTTAGCTTTAGCACTCGTATACCAGTCCATGCTCTCCTGACCGCAAGACTTAGAACTTTTACCCTCATTGAAAGTACTAACTAGGCTGCATGCAAATAACGAAATAAGAAGACGTGCTGATAACTTTTGAGAAGGGGGACAATCTTTTTAAATAGGAAAGATGGCACACAGGAGTTGAGGAATGTGATATATTCCCACCGCCTGCAATTGGCGCCGCCTAGTTTCTCAGCCCACCTACAAGCATGACTCGGGTGGTGCTGCACTGGCCACATCAACGCACCTACTTTAAGTAGACAACAGAAAAAGTAATTTTTGAGAAGGGTGCAGTGGCGAGATGAGATCAAAATGGGTGGATACGGGGTGGAAACGAGATGGATGGGTGGTTGGATGAACGGACGGAGGAATGGACGGATAGATGCGTGAGTGGATACGGGCGGATAGAGGGATGCTTGCGACATCACTTTAACCTTCTCTTTACGTTCCGTATCCAAGTCGATGGAGCTGGTGAAGAATTGGCTACTCCAAATGTAAATGGCAGAATTCATGAGAAGCGCCATGCCTACCCTCACTGAGCTTGGTGGTTAGATAAGCAGACGAGGCGTGCAGTGCACCCTCCCTCCACTCAAGCACTGCTTGATCTGCTCTGGCATGTGCTCATCTCGGTCTCTATCATGTCGGTGTCAGTAGTACTCTTCGTCCTCTTTGTCCAATCTTTCATCATTCTCAAATCCACCTTCACCTCCGTCCACATTGTCCCCATATCCATTCCCACGCCTCCTTCTTCATGCCCGAAATCATCTTCCTGGTCATTCCTTTCACACTGTGATATCAAAGCCATCATCGTCTTCTTCACCTTCCACCTTTTCTCCCTGCCCTTTGCCCGTGATCAACATCGCCTTTCTG